TAAAATCTTACATTCTTTGGGCTACTGTTCTTCCATCACCCCTCCAGCTAAGAAGAAGGATCTCCCTGAGGGTATTTTTTAAACCTATAGAATTGTGGAACATTCTGCTGTAGACTGTTAGCAGATACTAGGCACAGTAGATACTCAACAAATACCTGAATTTAATAATTTAATAACAATCCTAACATAACCTCCCCACATCTCCCCATCCTCTCTCTCACTCACCCCCCACCCCTCAGACACACCATCTTTAAATCTAGCTAGCATCACCAAACACAGCCAATCAAAGTTAACCTGGCAACTGTCTAGTCAAAAAGCAGGAATTTTCTATATCAAAAGAGGTAGTTCTAAACTGCCTCTTCCGTCGCATACAAAGGAAGATACGGAGAAAAGTACACTTTTAAAGACTGTAAAAGAGTCATTTATCCCAGTGGCAAAGAAGCCATGGTTCCTTTGGAAATGCCAAGAAAGGACAAACCATGGTCTGTGCTTGGTGCTTCTTGGGGGATGTGCACATGTACACAGGCATGTGAATACCTGTCCTCCAGGGGTACTTTAACAGCACTGGCCTGAGTTCCTACACACGTCACACTAAAGCCAGCAATGCTGGCTTGCACATTCAGGGCTGGACACAGGCAAGCATTCAACAGCGCAAGTCAAGCCATCTGGTAGCCCAAGAGGTAGGATTCACCAAAAATCTATAAAAGACTTTTCGATACTAGCCACTTTTATTTTTACTTCTTCATGTGGCATATTTAAATATCCCTATAACTATATATGTTGTTGTTGTTTTTAAGATCAAAAGAAGGGTTCTATTGGGTATTTGTCAAATAAGAGTGGAAAAACCATCTCTGACCTTTGGGTGGTATGTTAGTCCAATCCATACAATAAACATAAGTATATGTAAATAAAATGGTACATGAAAGGCCAGGGATCAGTCCACATAGGTGACATGTATTCATTTGAGAAATACCCAAACATATTGTGGTTAAAGAACAAATACAGTGGATTATAAATTAAAGGCTGACACCACTGGAGGAATGTAAATTGGTACAACCACTTTGGAAAATAGGCATCAGCTAGTAAAGCTGGAGATACACACACCTATGACCAGCACTGTTCATAACTGCCCCAGACCAGAAACCATTCAGATATCCATCAGCAGTGGATGATGGATAACTAACCTGCAGTATGTTCAGACAAAAATGAATATAGGCACATATAACAACATGGATGAGCCTGAAAAATATATAGTACTGCAAAAACTTAAACAAAATTATGTGTATATGTGTATATGTATGTATACAGGGTGTCCAAAAAAATGTATACATATTTTAACAGCTGATAGGTCAATTGTGAAAATGAAATGTATTTTAATAAACACTACCTTTATAATTATTCAAAGTGTATATATATATTTTTGGGGGGGACACCCTATATATGTATATATATACATACATATATATTAAATAATTACAATCATAGGTATTAACATGGATGAATTTTAAAAATATATAATACTACAAGAATTTAAACAAAAAAAATGTGTCTGTGTGTAGATATATACACACACACACAATATTGATAAAAGAATTTAAAAGAATTCCTACTTTGAGCCCATTTGCACAAGATTTAAAAAAAACAGGCAAAATGAAACTGTGCTGTTTAGAGATTTATATTTAGGGGATAACACTACAGAAGAGAAAGGAAGTGATTTTTCACACAATTGAGGGTAGTTACTGGCTTATTACCTCTGGGGTGAGGGAGTCATGAGGAAAGACTGGGATTGAGGGTACTTCTTGACCTGCAAGATGGTTACTATTGTGTTTCCTTTAAAATAATTAAGTTATACATTTATGTTTAATAGCCTCTGCTGTGTGTTACAATTCAGTTTTATAAAAGGTTAAATAACTATAATGTTCATTTCCAGGAATTCAGAACCATTACAATTCTGGCTAATCTGGGGAAAGAACACTTCCTCTCTGAATGTTACTATCAGCCTGCCAGCACAATACCTTTTAGCATGGCAAATGTCCTCAATAAATACTAACATTTAAAACCCATAAACTCTTTATGGGAATTTTGTTTTAACTCTCTCATCTCCTGAAATTATGGATTTAAACTGTGCCTACATTAACACTTCCCTTTTTTTGTCTTCACCCCAGTGAAGCTTTCATAAATAACTAAAGCTACCACCTTAAGTGTTGTTTGCTCTGTAAGTTTATACCCAGGTGCTGTTGCTTTAGCAACTCTCTCTGCTTTCCACTCCCTTTTATGCCTCCTCATAAGCAAAGAAAAGATGAATACACTAGTAGTCCTAGACTTACTTTTTCCTGAAGGGAAAGTTTCATCTGCAATTGAGAGTAACACCTAGGATCTTAATGATTTACTTGCTTTGAAGTTGGTTAAAAGAGGTTCATTTGCCAGTTGTCCAAAGAAATACTGCCATTCTATCAGGTTAATAAAACTTTACAGCCAGGTGTAATTAATATACATGCTACTTGTTCTAGACAGAACTCAAATCTCTATGAACAGGACCAGTTAATTTTATAATAATTCATTTCAATTAAAAAATCACATTGTGGCTGAAACCGGTTTGGCTCAGTGGATAGAGCGTCGGCTTGCGGACTCAAGGGTCCCAGGTTCGATTCCGGTCAAGGGCATGTACCTGGGTTGTGAGCACATCCCCAGTGTTTCTAGCTCTCTATCTCTCTCCCTTCCTCTCTTTAAAAAATCAATAAAATATATTTAAAAAAAAAATCACATTGTGCAAAGACATTCATGAAAATGCTTATTAGAAAAGTCTAAAAGGATATAAACCAATAAACAGTCAGCAGCTGTTTTTGGACAAGATGCTCAAAAGAAACTTTTAACCTTATCTGTACAGTTTTAATTTTTTTACATAAAGGATGATTAAGCCCTGCCCAGTTTGGCTCAGTGGATAGAGTGACAGCCTGAGGACAGAAGGGTCCAGGGTTTGATTCTGGTTAAGGGCACATGCCTGGGTTGTGGGCTCCATGCCCAGTAGGGGGCATGCAGGAGGCAGCTGATAAATGATTCTCATCATTGGGGTTTCTCTCTCCCTCTCCCTTCCTCTCTGAAATCAATAAAAATATATTTTAAAATAAAATAAAAACAAAAGTTAAAAAATTAAAATTTAAAAAAAGAACGATTAAAGTATTTCTTGTATTTAGAAAAAGTGTTAATCCACTTTGCCTTGAAAGAAAATCCCAATTACAGAAGAATCCACCAAACACAGACACCTTCCTAAAGACCACCATTTAAAAATGCTAGTACATTTATGCTAGTCCATTAAAAGATGCTATATAAGTCATACTTGCATTCAGCCAGTATAAGAGATTTCAGATGAGAACGCGGCATGAACAAATTCAACACTGACGTTCAAAAGACTTGGGGTGAAGGAAACTCTCCCCTTTTATGGGGGAAAGCCAAAAATATCAAGCAACTACCTCTCCTCCCCCAAGCGTCAGAAGATGAGTCAGAGCTGGAGGCAGGAATAGCGTTCATGTGTCAAGCCGCCAGCTGCAGGGTTCATTCCTACCTCCACCCGGCAACCCTCTCCCTCTCCCAGGCTGGGGTCCCTGCCCGAGGCTGTCCCCGCGGTGAGTTCTCAGGTGTCCCGGAAGACAGGCGGTTATTCATGCTGGTGGGTGCCTCATTCCCTGCGTTTCTAAAGGGAACTCAAGAATGGGAGCCTTTATGAGCCCTCAACAAGTAACAGTCACCAAATGCAGCTTGTCGGTGGAGCCTGCAGACACACACAACTTTGCAAAGGATACAGCACCTTTGTTCCCCTCATTTTAAGGAGCAGGAAACACGCAGAGCAGCTTTGTCTTGTCCTGTATCACTTCACTTGGTGACAGCTGAGTCCCTAGAGCATGGAGTTGCTGAAGGCTGGCCCCCGCCTCTCTGATTTTTAATTGAACTGTCCAATCTCAGGGACGATGTTCTGAGTGGCCTTATAGACTAGGGATTCCAGGAAACTCTGAGTTAAAACTCTTGGTCCATATCCCTTTAAGGTTCGTAAAGAATAGGGACTTGGTTCTTTTCCTCCGTTTTTACCTCTGTAAAACGGGATGCTCATGCTCTCTACCTACCCGCTTATAAAATTACCATGAATAGCTGCTAGTTAATACATGCTAAATGCCCTGAGGTCCTGCAGGATAAAAAGTACAAGGAGGTTTTTTTGGGGTGTGTGTGTGTGTGTGTGTGTGTGTGTGTTAACTAAATCCCTACACAGCAGAACTGCATTTGTAAGTCACTTCCCTTGCCTCTCGGATACCCTGTTACCATAACACTGGCTGGTACCATTGGCAACATCCACCTAAATAAAATATAGTCATACAATCCACTTAAGACGTGCAACTGCCCTCACACACAAACAACTCAACTTCGCTCTGGAGCAAGGACACTTAGAAGAAATAAAACACGCTAGCACCGCGCACACCAATTTACCACCGCGAAGAAAAACGCTCAAGTTGAATACTTGGCATTGCTCAAAGTCCAGCTGCTCCTACCCGTGCACCAGAAACCTTCGGCAGCTGCAAAACGCCGCCGTCGGCTCCCGCGGCTCGGAGCGGGCGCACGCCGACCGCGGGGTGAGGGGTGGCGAGGCCGCTGAGCAGAGGGGTCGGGAGGGGAGCGGACGAGGATGCTAGCGAAGGGGCCCGAGGGTCAGTATCCTGGGCCAGGGTGTCCGCCGAGGAGGGGAGCGGCCGGGGCGGCGCACAGAGAACCAGGGAGGCGGGGGCCGCGTGCTGAGGAGGGGGCGCCGCGGAGGGCGCGGGGCCTCTCCTCTCCCGCCGCCCAGAGGATGCGAGAGCCACTGGGAGCAGGTGGGGGCGCCGGCACAAAGTTTCCAGAGACGAGGGTCGCGGGGGACCCGGGACCCTGGCCACCCGATCCAGCCAACGTCCCAGAGCCGCATCGGCGCCAAGTCCCTCCCGTCCGCCCTCCGCCCGGGCCCGAGAGCGGCGTACCGGTTCCGACGGGTTCGCGGCGGACGCTCCGTCCTCCTGCGAGGCTCTCGGCTTCTGCGGGCTGGCCGCTGTGCGCACCCCTCCTTCTCCCCTCCGCCAGCGCCCGGCCGGGCCACGCGCATGCTCCCTGCGCCCCACCGCCCTCTCCTGAGGAGGGGACTCCGGGCTGTGGGCGGGGCCTCGGCGGGGGACGCCTGGAGCCGCGGGCGTTGCGCATGCGCACTGTGCCCTCCATCACCGAGCCGCTTGGCGGAGGCGAGTCCCCTGCTCCCCCGACGCCCGCTTCCCCGCCCCCCGCAGACTCCACTTAGGGGTCCCCTGTTGTCTCCTCGGCCGCCTCACTCCCGTTCCCACTTGAGCGTTTGCAAGCCGAGTTTGGGGCACGGGTGCAGGGTGATGTACTGGTACTTTCTGGATGTGAGAGAGTTAAAGGCAAGAAAACAATTACAAGAAGGTGAAGACTGCAGTTCGTGACTAATCGCCAACTCTCACCCCACCCCCACCCCACCCTCTATCCGCCCGGAGAGCCCGGGAGTCGGGGCTGAAGAGTGAAGGGAAAATCTCGTAGCAACTGTAGGGTGACTTCTGCTTGGGCAGGTGTGGGCGGTTTCCAGTAACTGCGGGGGCTGTATTGTCCGAGACACAAAAGTAGCCATAGATGCGGCGATCCTTTGCCTGCCCCGAGGTCGCCAACCCACCACCGGGAACACGGGTGATATCTGAGTCTCCAAACCCCCATCCACACTAAGCCCGTGCCTCCGAGGTGGGGTGTAGGGTCTACGGAGCCCAGGATGAACATGCAGATTCGTTGAGGGCTTATTTGCTCTCTCTGAGGGTCTTCCTTTCTTTTCTTTTTACTGGTAGGTTGGCCCATCTGTAACATGAGTAGATGCAAAACCGACTTTTTCCAGCACAGGCAGGTGCTGGCAGGTGAGGGGAGTAGAGACGACTTCCTCGGGGCTCCGTGAGTCAGACACCTGAGTCCTGACTCCACGCCCCGCCCTTTGCGCAGCAGATCCAGCTCCTCGTCGCGGTAAAGCTTTGGCGTCGGAACTGCTGAAGTCAATCGAACAGTCACAGGTTTGGGGGAGGGATTGACGAAGGAAGTAAAATCGGGTACTGCGTTCACATCTCCCAGCATCTTCAACCAAAAAGCTTTGAGGCTTTTTCATGCTCGTCCTCATTCCCAGCGGGACTCGGAGTCTCCCCCTGGGTGCAGGAATATCTAAAAGTTCTGTCTACTTCCATACAACAACAGAACATCAAAAGCATTTTCGTGTTCATTTTAGGGGAGCCAAAAAGTTCTAGGATGGAGGGATTTGTTTATTTTGCCTTCATAAATAGAGAATCAAAGCCTTAAAACTAGGCCCTAGCCGGTTTGGCTCAGTGGATAGAGCGTCAGCCTGCGGACCAAAAGGTCCCAGGTTCCATTCCGGTCAGGGGCACATGCCCGGGATTCAGGCTCAATCCCCAGTATGGGGTGTGCAGGAGGCAGCCAATCCAGGATTCTCTCTCATCACTGATACTTCGGTCTCTCTCTCCCTCTCCCTTCCTCTCTGAAATCAATAAAAATATATATTTTTAAAAAATGAGGCAAAACTAATCTTTTTGTGTGAGAGAAGGAAACTCTGATTCAGGGTAAAACACTAGTTCAAATCTTGCCTGGGAAAGGCATCTTCCCAGCACTAAGCTACTCCACCATCAATTCATCTAGTGACTTTTGACATGCCAGTACCAAAATAGCAAAATCTCTAGAGAAGCCATTGTATGCCTCTCTCCTTTCTTTCTTCCCCTTCCTCCGTCTTTCCTTCAGTCAATTCAGTGACTCAGCAGCACAAATAGATGCATCCCTCTGGATTTAAGCTTGTTACCTAGGAGGCAGGTTTCCAGAACAGCTCTAGTTAGTGAGGAGGAGCCGGGCATGTTCATGGATTATAGGAACTGAGCCTACCATGAAGAATCATATCTTCATCAGTGAAGAGGGGGCGGGGGGAGGACTAACATAGACTGTGTTCAGTGTGAGGCACGTATAAAGATCTAGAGATTAAGGAAAGTAGGACAAAGTGCTGAATTCAGCATGCTCACTTAGTGACTACACATAGGCCTGTGGGTAGGGAGGTGCTTCATACCTTCACAGTGGACGTGTAGGCTTCTATGTGCCTCTACCAAAAAGGAAGAAAGGAAAAAAAAAAAAAAAAACAAGCAACTTGAAGGTATTATTTTCTAAACCAGCACAGTCCAACAGAACTTTCTGTGATATAAAGATTCTTTCTGTGATAGAAATGTTATATATTTTCACGGCCCAGTACAGAATCCCCTAGCCTCATGCGGCCTTTGAGCACTTGAAACGTGGGCTGTGACTGTATTTTTAATTTTAAAAGCTTACTTATCGATTTTAGGGAGAGATTTGTTGTTCTACTTCTCTATGCATTCATTGGTTGATTCTTGTATGTGCCCTGATCTAACCTGCAAACTTAGCGTATTGGAATGACGCTTTAACCAACTGAGCTACCTGGCCACAGCAATTTAAATTCATTTTAATCCACTTAAATTTCAATAGCCACATGAGGCTAGTGGCCACCTTTCTGGATAGCAATTACTTGACTAGAAATAGGTATCTTTATAGGTGTTAACGATCTTTATAGAAACATCTCAGAGGTCATCTGCTACAAGAGTATGACTTGTCTACGCCTAGGGAGGTGTGGGGGCTCCTGACTGTATCTAAATAAGCAGCGTTTTAGAGTGATGCAGCTTCTACCCAACATGAGAGCTGATCTGATTAGACACAGTAAGTAGAGGGTGGAAACTGCTACTCTGCTTGGCTTCTGATTTCTGCCTTTCCAAAAATATTCTCCTTAATTGCTTAGGCTCCTTAGATTCATCAGACCTTTATGGGTCCCTGAGAAAGAAGAGCTGCATCTTCCATTTATATCACTGCCTCTGGTTAACAAATTGACCGCAGCTTTGATAGATCTGTCAGAATTGGGGAACAGCTGTGATCAGGCTCCTCAGACGACCGAAGTTTACCATCAGGTCCTGTTGGTCACAGGTGTCCCAAGCCCCTGCTTGCTCATGTCTGTAATTCCAGAATATATGCCATCCATTGCCAACTAAAATGCAATATGGTGTTCCTCCAGAGAAGTCTTTAAACTATTGTCCTTTGGCACATCTCAAAGGGACACAGGACACCAGGTACTTGGGAGGAAACTATAAATGTGAAAAAGGTAAAAGAACTAGGAGAAGTCCCCAAACACATTTCATCTACTACAGAAATTGGCTAAGGCTGTTTTATAAGATGTAATATAGCACCTCATATAGCTATCATAAGGACTAAATTTTATTTTATTTTATTTTATTTTTTTTTTAAATATATTTTATTGATTTTTTACAGAGAGGAAGGGAGAGAGATAGAGAGTTAGAAACATCGATGAGAGAGAAGCATCAATCAGCTGCCTCCTGCACATCTCCTACTGAAGATGTGCCCGCAACCCAGGTACATGCCCTTGACCGGAATCGAACCTGGGACCTTTCAGTCCGCAGGCCGACGCTCTATCCACTGAGCCAAACCGGTTTCGGCAGGACTAAATTTTATTAATGTAAAATATTTTAAACTTCTATTTTTAGAGTATTTATAATTCTCATAAAATTTATTTTCCATTAATATGCAAGTGTCACATTACCAGAGAGGGTGTGCAAATGTATCACCCATAATCTTACTACTTAACAAACAACAGCTTTGTTCTTTTTACTATGCATGATTTTTTTAGTTTTCTTTACATAGTGACATAGTTTTGTAACCTGACTGCAAGCTTCTTGGGCAAGGCATTGTATAAGAGACTATTACAATATGTCTAGGATAACTAGGTCATTTAGTATGTATCTGTCTCTGAAATTTTCTGTCCTTAATTCAACGCTGGGGCTGTGGCAATGATGCGGTGATGAGAATTCCAATGTAAGTAAGATCCTTGAAAATGCACATCTGCCTGTTTTAACATTTGCTCTGTGTCAGATTTTCGTGTCCCCTCTGTGAGACTTTACCATGATGTGAATTGTGTGGTACAGGAAAACCAAGTGCTTGCTTATACCTGGCTGGGGTTAAATGAAAATAGCAAAGGTCCCATGGGAAGGAAGGGAGGTGCTAGGTGGTTAATATACCTTATGCCATTTAATCTTCGTCAAACCCCGTCAGGAAGTATTATCAAGCACCCTTTACACCGAAGGGTTGAGAAACTTGCTCAAGGTTGTATTATTATTATGGAGCAGAACAAGCATTAGCACTCAGGTCTTTCCAGTGTTGTGCTGGTGAACAAGAAAGTATATAAACTCTTAACGTAAAAAGGAAAAGAGAGGGGTTTTAAAAAACTTACAACTAGGATGTATTCATGTATTCTTTACAAACTGTTTTTAAAGAAAGGGGAAATGAAGAAATATTTCCCCCATGAGTTAGTCACCTCTGGTAGTAACAATACCAGCAATGTTAAGAGACCAAACTTTTAAGGGCATCCTAGGTAATTAATGCCACTTTGCATAATCTCCTACACCAGAGGGGAAAAAACCTGGTCCTACTGAAAGGGAGTAAACGCCCATGTCAGTCCAAGAGCCCATAGACTTCCCCTCTAGTTAGAAATTGCTACCACTCAAACTCTCTGACTATGCAAATGAAAGAGTGGAATATGAATGCGGGTAGGTAGTCCACGAGGTTCCCGCATGGTTTAGGAGGCAACATCTAAACTACTGCATTGTTCATCTGCTCTGCTTTGCCAAATAGTAGCAAATCTGTGTTACAGCAAGTTAAGACACCTCAAATGATTCCCCTCCACCCCAAGATGTGTATATTATTGCTATAAACATACCAAAAGTGTCTCCAGAGCCCTGGAACAATGTCTGGCTACATCCTGCATGCTAATCAGGGGTATCTGCTTTTACCAGAGGGAGCTCCCAGGCCCCTATATCCACCCCACCTTGCCCCATCTGCTGGAAATTCATGGCTTGCCTTTCCTTTTCCTAGTTTCCACGGAGACCCAACAGTTTACTTTTTACCCCGGACTTTAAGCCATGGTTATTTTTAACTCTAAAACTCTGAGCCAGGTCACAGCTTGGATCTGGTAGATGCAATGACATCTATAGCCACTCTTCT